GTCTGTGAACTAAATTTATAGGGGAACAACCTACTGGACAGGATTCAATCTGTAATTGGACCAGAGGAAAAAATATCCATTTAAGGACTAAAAAGAAGTCATGGTAAGGTGATGCTGACTTGGTTCTCTACCTGTTCCATCCTGGGTCCATCTGATCTCCTAATACCTCTTCAGAGGTTGGGGAAACTTACAGCATGGGGTGGACAATGGTGCTTTCTTCTCAAATACTCTTTACCTGTGGTTGAGGCTAAAAGAAGAAGTAGACAGAACTTCTATGCCTGTAATGGGGGTAGAGAATATGGGAACAACGTTTTACCAGAATGTCTTCTGTTCTGTAAATGTGAGATCTGATTCAAGATGGTTTATTCCTCAGTGTAAGCTACCTCCTTAGAGCAGAACATAAAACCATGCATATAAAGAGGGGTAATGTGCACTTTGATAAGTATCACCCTGTAGAGTTTTTTCATGCATCTTTGTTGACATACAATTGAAACCAAATAAATGTGTAAAAAGCAGACACTACCCATAATTACCTTTCCTAGCTTACAAGCTTCTGGAGACCTTAACTAGTGAAAACCTTCTCATCATAGTAAGTCCACTCTGGATTTTAATTTGCTTGTGGCACTAAGAATGCGATATGACTTCTCTCTGTGCATGTTGATACAGTACTTCTAGTCCTTAAAACCTCCTACTCTGAAATTGTGTAGTTCTAACCTGGAACAGCTGCACTGGCAAATTGCTGTACTCAATGCCACAAACTTCCTAAGTCCTTCCCTGAGAAAGGTAGAAATTGAAACTGTGCTTTTCTATGCATAGATAGATAGATAGATAAATAGATAGATAGATAGATAAAAAGGGGGAAGAAGAAAAAAAGGAAACAGTTTATTTTACTTCAAACTTATCATGACCTATCTGTGTTTCAAAATCAAAAGCCTTTAAGAAAAGTATAGCGGCTTGCTGAGGTGAAGAGAGAACTTGTGTTTAGATATTACCTCTGGCTGAAGTTGCTGTTGTGCTTTATGTCTAACATTAGCTGTACATTAGGTTTACTACAGTGAAAATCTCCATGATAAAGGGTTATCACACATATACTGTGGCTATGTAACTTAGAAGAGAAATACTCATGTTTAGCCCATGTAGACCTCAAAGAGTTTTTGATCACTGTTTGCTTAACAAATTTGCAGGAGATATCTTAGCTAAGAGTTATAGCCTCCCTCTAATTCCCAAAGTAGTTGTAGGAAAACAGAAACTCTCTCAAAGTGTTTGTCACTCAAAGCTCTTATAGAACTCTCTCTTTGAGGAAGCATTTTTCACTAGTACCTTTCACACCTTAAAAAATGTCACACATCAATTTCTGAATTTATTTTGTTGTAAAATAGTTGCTTTTATTAATCTAGAATGTATTTAGCACTAATTGTGCTATTTAAAATATACATTCTATATACATGCATGATAACAACCTTCTTAGAAAAAACTTTTATACTCTGTCCCATTCAGTAGAAGAACCTATTGATAATCCAGTGGGAAAAGTTCAGTTTTTAATTTACTTAATGTAAATGATGCTATAAGTATGTGAAATGATATACTAAAATGTCATTGCCACTGGCTCTGTTAGTAATGGAAAGTCAGAAATACCTTCTTTGACTATATATACAGTATATCTTTAACTATTTCAACAAACACAGAAAATAAATTGCTATTTATATGGAGCAAATATTTCTGTCCTCTGGGTATTAAGTATTAGTTCTGTGACTCCCACACCAAGAATGACCTTCATTTACCCCAATAAAGGGTAGGAATTTACTTCCAATAAAGGAAGAAAGCAAGAAAAAATAAACTGTAGCCTTCTAATGGAACTACACTGAGAAAGACAGTGCATGATAGTGATTCTCAAACGAAGAAACCACACACCTAGAACTGGGTGCTAGCAGGTTATTTAGGATGTGCTATCTATACCTTGCTATAGGACCTAGGATGGGAGTTGCAAAGGGTCTGTAGATTCCATTCCATTCCATTCCATTCCATTCCATTCCATTCCATTCCATTCCATTTCTAGAATCCATTCTAGATTCAATCTTTACTAAAGTCTCCTTTTTAAATGTATGTGAAATCTTTCTCCTGCTTCTAGATTGAAGTTGCCAATAAGGAGTTGCACATCACAAAAAACACAAGCAATAAGCTATGTCTTCTAGGAGATGCCAAGCCAAAACAGTAGTATCTATGTCTATATAGAGATGTGTTATACTATTCTGTACATGTATATTAGCCTATTAAAATATTTATTTATACACATATAAAAACACATATAATGTAGTGGTAATTTGTCTTCTCTCAGTTTGAAAGTATTTAATTAGTGAAGATAATTTTGATGGTTGTTTATAAGAATATTACAAAAATAAAAGTGGTATTTATTTCCCTTCCTTTCACATCAAGAAGTCTGTGTTGATTGGGTTGCTCATTTCTACACTCCTAACAGAGAAATCAAAAACCAAAACACCTACATTTTCATATAAATAGTCAAAGATCTTCCCCAAGTGACAAAATCATTCATTATATAAAATGTACCTCATTTTAATATGAGTGAGATTTAAATTAAAATTATCACTGAACTTTTTTTGTTTGTTTTTGGTCAAGTGGGTTCTCAGGACTAGTCTGTAAATTTATAGTTATATCAAAGAAGTGTTTTTTGTTTGTTTGTTTTTGTCTGTGACATCTGAAAAAATGTTTCATGTGAATGTTACATCTGTTAGAAAAGTATTTGAAAGCTTTGCAGTTTAGAACTTCATAAATTTAACTTTTTTAACTTAGAGAATATTTAACTTTTAACTTTTTAAAAGTAAAATTATATGGACATGAAATACTCTTTTTTTTTTTTTTTCCTATAAATTTTATTCATCTAGCAGATAAATACTTTTATATTTAACTATTGAGGTATGCTAACATGTTAAAAAAGATTTTCAGTGTTTAACATAACCTGACTATCAAAAGTATATAAATACAAAGATTTAATGTGAAATACAAGTGGTACATTTATGTATTGATGCTTTGCAAGGCTTACAGCTAATGAGATGGAGACTTTTTAAAGACTCTCTATAATTTCTCTTATTGGGACAGCTGCATTCTGCACACACAGTGTCCCAGGTGAATCCATTTTTGTATTAGTACATATCTGTTATCTGACATAATACAACTGCAGTAACGTTGAGGATTCAAGTCACCATTTAAAAATATATATAGAACTGAAAACAAAACAAAACATTTTATTAATAACTACTTATCTTGTTTTCAGTTTTATTTTTTAGTTTCTTAGTTTTTTGTTTTTTTTTTACTTTTATTATTTTTTTAAACTTTTAAAACAGATTTTTCATGCAGAAACACGCTACAGAATCTTTAGTGATAATTATCTCCTTTTCCAGCTTTTCAGATTTTCTGCATAGCGTGACTTGGTCACTAATGTAGAGTAAATGCACAGAACTAAGTGTCAGGAGAGCACTTACCAACAGTGTAGTACTCTCAATAGTACACTTTGTACTCTTTCTGCATTTATTGCAGTTGCTGTACAATTTTTAAAGTTTCAAACCTCATTAAACTGTCTGTTCTCATTATGGTAAACCAGTGTTTTCTTAGCATAGTTTGACATATTTCAAAGCATTGTGTTTCTAATGTATGTACCCTCTAGTTGTTGATACAACTCTGATCCCAAAAATTGCATATTAAACTAAGAGATTAAAAGAGATGAACAGGGATTTAAGCCCTTCCTTTCTGCTAGAAAATTGTCATCTTGTTTTTCTAAATTAGAAATTTTAGAAATTTTTTTAGAAAAAAAATTTCTAAATTACTTCCTACTAAATTACTTACCTTGAAATCACTTATGTCTGACTTTATAGCTAAGATATAGCTAAGATGCAGTCCTTATACTTCTCTTTCTTACTAGGAAAGGAAAAAACTCTGGGTTTTGCTATAGTACTGAGATGGTAAGTGATTGGTGAGAAAGTAGTAAATGTTTTCAGAAGTAAAATGGATGGGAAAGCATTTACAATTGCTCGTTAGTAATATTGCATATAATTAAAATAGAGAATGTATGGAACATAGGATAAATGGCAAATGTAGTAAGCCTTTTTTTTTTTTTTTTTTTTTTCCTTTTCAGACTTATACTGTCTAGTACTGAGAGATAGGTTGGATTGCTTAATTTCTGATTGAAAAATGATGAATAAAAGTATCTTTGGTAATTATATTTCTTCAGTGTAAGAAATAATAAGCATAGGTCATAGGTCCTGATCCACTAAACTAATAGCAGATTAGCTATTTTGGTACTTGGAATGCTTTGCACAATAAACATTGCTATGGACTGATGCATAATCATAACCTTCAGCCAAGCACTTCCTTACTAGTTTGTCTTGAGTCTGAGGTTTTTGTCTGTACAGATTTACAACGGCACTAGCACTGTTGCTTACTCCAGCATTTCAGTAAGTTTCTAAACTGCCAGAGAACTTAGAAAATATAATGATACATATATTAAATTATAAGTATTTTAAAGTAGCTGATCCTATTTCTGCTTATGCTCTCAATGACTATTTTTGTTGCATTTCTCACACGATATAAAAGTCATTGCAATTAAAGGATTTTTGCATATTTATGCAAGCTGTAAGGCTGAAGAAGTCACAGCTGAATCCTGTACAAATATTGACAAAAGCTGTATTTCTAAAATCTACAGAAGACTAATAATTCTCACCAATAGTTCTCTTGTAGTTCAACCACTTTAAGGCAGTCTGAAGGAATGGGTTCATTCAAAAAATTAGGGCATTTTTTCTTGATTTCAAACATCCCACACCCACTCTCTCTCTCCTCGTGGCCTTTGTAGGCACAGAGCAAAGCAGAGCTAAAGCCTGAGATCTTCCTTTCTTTAAGGAGATAAAGTAATGCATTTGTTACACATAGCAGTAATATTGGGTCTGAGTTTTGAGTACACTAAAATACTAATGCCCTTTACATATAGGTTGATATTATATATAGGCCCATGCCATGTGTCAAAGGGAGAACGGCATTTCTCCAAGGACAGATAATATTATTTATAACAGAGGTCTTGCAGTTTTCAGTGATAGTATCAATTGTTTACAGCTGCCTGAAACAAGAAGTTGAGTTGGTCTGATAAGAGCTTGAGGCTTGGGTCCAAGCCAGATACTCTTACCAAGGCTGCAGTGGTGAGTGTTACAAGCCTCTGTAGCCAGAGAGTTGCTGAAAAATTAGAGTAAGTATTTGGAGGTAAAAGCTTGATTCTATGGCAAAAACATCATTCACATTAATGATTCCAAGATTTCACCCCTACTGTGAAGTTTGTATAACATTTGTACAGGGCATTGTTAAAAGAACTGCCTGCACTAGTGCCAGAAATATGACATTGCTTAGATTTCATGAAATGCTTAATTTTATTTTCATTTATGAAGATTATGGTGAAATCAAATTCTGTTATAATGATCGTGTTGATTTTTCAGACATTTTACTGCTATGAACATACTGTTCTGTGGACAGAACATTAACTGAAATACTTTTGATAATGAAACAAGCAGTAGTATAAAAATAACTAATCTCAAAGTGGGAAACTTTCCTGTTATAGAATTTCATAATTAAAAGCTCAAGCAATGGTATTTCTAAGATGGCAATTACATATAGCAGGGTAGAAATGCTGATGAGCTGGCAGCCAACATGTTGATTACAGTGGGAGCCTGAATATAAATCTGTATCCCCTTTTAAACTGTGTTTAGGCAAGGAGAGAAAATTAGAGAAATGATGTGTGGGGAAAAAAAAAAAAAAAAAAAGATTAAAAAAAATACAAAAGGAAAAGGATTAAAAAAAAAAAAAAAAGTTTTACAAGTGAGCTACCCATGATACCTGCTGATATTCAGAACTTTATGCTGTTCTGAACATCCCTGCTTCATGGAACGCGGGATTGCACTTTATGGAAGGAGGGATAGTCACTGGGCAGCATCTCTGTTGACATCTGACCCCTATGCCAGCAGTCACTCTAAATGTTTACAGAGGAAATGGTTACCCCAACTATGAGCAGTATGGATTATACAAAACATTAAAATATTCATTTTAATTGCCTACTTTTGTTTTAAATATGTCTTTCTTTTCACTCAAGTGATGCAGTTTTTCCACTTTTTTTTTTTTTTTTTTTTCCTCCTGTAGCTATTTTTTGGGTTGTATCCAGCTGTGTGCCCAGTTCTTGCGAAGGGAAGAGCAGATAGTTTCTTCCCTTTCTTTCTCCCCCTCCGGAGGCGCGGTGCCGCGGCTGGGCCAGCAGAGGGAGGTCACGGCTCGCCGGGCGCAGCGACGCCGCCGGCCCAGAAGCTGCAGTACAGCAGGGAGCGAAGAGCAGCCTCCAGCAGCGCCTCGGCAGCTAATCGGCGGTAGAAGCCGCCCACCCGACTGGAGAGATTCTAAGCAGAATATGAAGCTTTGCTTGTTGTACTTCTAATATCTCTAAAGATTTTCTCAGAGAAAATAAGAAAACAAACAACAACAACAACAACAAAACTTTGTGGGGACAAAATACATCCAGAATATATATATGTATTTTACTACATTTCAAAGAAACCCATTTCAGATAAAACAACAAGATAATGGTGATCCTAACGATACCGGTGTTGTGATCAGGCTTACTTCTGACAATTTGATCTTTGCTGAATTGCTGTGACTGGGACTTCTTTAATTTTGAAACATGTTCAAAAGGCCTGTACTGATAAGTGCAGGAGAACTCATTCTGTCACAACTATTTATTTATTTATTTATTTATTTGCTGTACCCCCTCCTACATGTGTGAATATTCTCAAGTGGAGATAATTTTGACCTACTTGTTCAAGACAAAAGCATAAGCGTGCATTCACTGCATAACTGAAATCTTACACAAATGTGAGTGAAACTTGCTTAATTTTGTATTTATTTAAATGTGTTTTTTTTATTATTATTTTCCTTTATTATTTTTTTTTAATTAACAGCAGGATCTGTATAGTGTGTAAAGACATAGTCTTAGATGATTCTTGTCCCTTTCTTTTGTTACTACCACAGCAAAATCACTGTTGTTAAATCAGACCAGTCCCTAAATGTGGAGCAGTAGGATGGAGATGAAGTGATAAACAATGGACTGCAGTGTTTTTGTTTTGTTTTGTTTTAGTGGATTTCTTTTTTTATATACATTCAGTTAATGATTTTCCCATCATAATCAATTTAGCTAAAATCTTCTTTTTTATTGTTTAGGCAAGTACTAAAGTAGACCTGTATGCTACAGAGAGCATAAAATTCTTTTTTTTTCTAGGCCCATCTATCTATAGGCTTCATATTCTTACTTCAGCTCCCATCTTCCTTTTCTCATCATTCAAGTCCACAATTATTCTGCTTTCCATATGAAAGTTATTAATAGGTTTTGATAACTTTTTGACAAAGAAGGGTGGGAACGATTCTCCTTTGATTGGAATTACTTTATGTGATTCATCTGCACAAAGGTGTACTGATAGCACACATGCACCATATTACCCTCTTCTCCACTTATAAATCTCCCACTAGTGGGAGATTTAGCAGTTGATCTCTTCCAACTTCCCACTAGCTTCCTGACCTCCAGTTTCACCTTTCTGACACTACACTCACATGCACACAAACACAGTTCTTCGCAGCTTACCTGGGGATTTCTTTTTCAGGGACTATCTTTAAAGTGATACAAGTCATTTGAGCTGCAGAATAGCTACACAAAACCAGATTGGCTAGTCATAACTGCTGGTCATAACAAGCCTTTTGTAAAACTCTAGCCTGATTTTATTTTATTTTTCTTATTTGTTTATTTCTCCTTTCTAATGGAGTGCTCATCACAATGCCATTAGAGTACTCTTTAGACTGATGAATCAAAATAATCCTATCTCCTGTTTTTTGTAAGTGTAAGAAGTGTTTCTAGAAGGCTTTAGATAAAAGGGTATATTTAAAAACATAACAGCAAAAGCACATGCATGCATTTACCTTGCTGAAATATTTGGCAAAGAAATGTGTCTTCCATCTGGCATGATAAGCTTGTGAAGGTTCTTCACACCCAAAGTCTGTGACAGAACTAAAGCAAGCGAACAAGAAAGATCTTCCTCTGAAAAGATGGCCTTTATTCCATTGAGCTCTCTTGTGCTGGAGGACATTTATCTGCCACGAGATTTAGATCAGTTAGATATTTGGGCAAAGTTCTTGAAACACACTGGTCAAATGGACCAAGACCTTGAGCTTGGCATGAAGTTCTGGCAGTGTGCAAAGGAAAATTTTGTTGATTGCTTGCCTGTGTTGCTAAGGCATACTGCAGCATTTTGTATAGACTGAGCTTCAAACTTCCTGCTGAAGTACCTTGTATCACTATGGTTTGGCTGAGAAATGACTAAGAGCAGATGACTAGATGTCTGGATACCATATGGTCATCTTTCTGTAAATTATGGGGATTACAGTCTGAATTAAGTCTTTTACATGTCAATAAAGGAAAACGTACTGTACATTTGAACTCTTCCCATCAGTACTGACCTGTCTTCCTACTGAGTTCAGCTGATCTTTTTTTTGTCTAATCTCTGATGGAACAGTGATGCCAGCTGATGTCTTTTTATGATCCTGCCAGCTCAATCAGATCAATCATGTAGTAATTGAAAGCAGATTATAAAAAACACTAGAGGAAGAATTACTTCTCTTTAAGAGTCTGCAAAAGAATAAACCTAGCAGTAGAGATGTAATTTTCTGTCTTTTCTAACAGGATGCATTCTTCTCTAAAACAACTTACATTATGTTAGTTGCATGTACTGAAGTTAGAAACTTCTGCCACTTGTCAAGCAAGACATCAGAATTGCATGGTTATCTGTGTAGTGCAAAACTAAAATCCAGGAGGATAAGAAGAAATGTTTAAATTCTTTTCAGTGATTGATGGTACTAATGGTGACTTTTCTCATCGGTATAGCCTTACCAAACAGCCTCATTTCACAGGTCACCTCCTTTTGCTAGGTTAGTTGTTTTCCCTTTGTCTCGATTCTCTAAAGACGTACTGGGGATAAAACCTATGATACTGGATATTAAAGAATGATGTAGCCAAAGTTGATCTTGAACATGTCAATCAATCAATGGTGTACTTAGAGGAAGGTAGGGAGAGGAGATGCTCTCTGTGAATGATTCACTGTCAATTTTGATAATACCATGATAGTCATTGTTTGTCATTTTTTCATGAATCAACAAGAATCATGGTGGACTAACATTGTTAGGATGTTGAGAACTTGAATGAGTGAGATAGTGAGGGATAATGGTGTACAGATGACTATTCAGTCATAGAATCATAGAATCCAGGGTTTTCATTAAGGCATAATAGTGCATAAGCAGAATGGAGTGCCTGGATTCCTGCAGGCATGTGACACCTTAAAAAGAACAATGAAACCACTTTTCTCTGTTCTTCTAATGCTGTTACTCATCCTTGTTGCTATTCTGCTCTCTCCTAATACACAAACAAATTCCCCAAACAAATCTTCCCTTTGAGCATACAAAGTCTCTAGAGCAGGGGCTTCTCAATTTGAAGATTTGTTTTCCATCAGTATGTCTCAAATTCAGCTTCTTATCTTCACAATTTTGACCGCAGGTGAACACAAACAAATCCACCTGTGTTCTAAGGTTCTGAACTTTTGAACAGTAATGAATTTTGTGGGACCCAATTCTGGTGGGGTAAAAGGTGAGTGCATTGAGAAAGGCTGCGGAAAACAAATTTTAACATTAAAGGTGGGGAGGAAGCAAAGAGAATGGGATAATCATAAGAAAGAATTTAATAGAAAACTGTAACTACACTGATGGTCTATTTACTTCACGTTTTATTAACATGGTGACTGCCTTGTTTTGGAGCTTTCCATCTCACTTCTGATCTGTGTTACTCATGTTCCCATTCAAATGCCTTTGGGAAAGAAAAAAAAAAAAAGACACCATGAAAACAGCATGATACATGGTGTATTTCATAGATAAATTGTTGATAGTGCCTGCTACAGAAATTTTAATTCACTGTCTTGCTTTGATCTAGTACTTTTTCCTCTCATGTACAGAGCATGGCGTGGAATGAGCAGCACCTCTTACCTCACACATTGACAGGCCCCCATAAAACATAAACAATATTTGTAATTTCATTCAAAAACCACAGGAACAACAAAATGATGGCAACATATTAATGATGTTATTATTTTCCCAGCATTTCTCAGTCCCTACAGACCTTTCTGCCTGCTTCTACTGTGTTCTACAAAGCCTGCCACCCTCTGATGCCTGCAAGAGAGAGTGCTTTCAAAGCACAGTCTTGATTTGTATTTGTGTGTTTTAGGAACTGTGAGTTTATGCCTGCTTATTGTCTATTGCATTTTTAAAGTGATGGTTCCATATTTATCAAAATGAGCAATAGAGAACTTGTAGAAGTAGACTGACTAGGGGTGGAGAAAGCAGGGACATGTCAGATGTCACTGCTCTCTGCACTTCCTTCCTGAAGGGTCATCTGTGTTTGGTCTTGTCATGTTACTGTTTGTTTTTTTGGGGGGGTTCCCAATCCTGATAATAAATAAATAAGTAAGTAAATAATATATATATATATATATATATTCCAGTCACGTAGTGTGGACTCACTTACTTAAGTAGTGTTGTGTGTGAAGGGAACCTGAGTTCATGGCACTTTGAACATGGATGTGTGTGCAGCTAGGGGACACAAACAAGCCAAGTACAGGATATTCCTTTAATGCACTGCTAAATTGAAGGAGCAAGATTATATCATGCAACAAAACTCCACAGAGCTTGGCCTGCTTGGATCTGGATTTCATCTTCAAAGCTGTATTTAGGATTTTGATAGTTAAGGTTGTGCTCAATTTGCCACTTGTTTTAAAATAACATTTTTCTATTAAAAATATTATTGGCCAGATGGTACTTTTTATAAATTACAATAGCAGTATTTTATAAGTGACTGCAAATCACTGACTGAATACATGACACTGTACAAACATATGAATTTTATTTTGAACAAGATATGTAAAGTACTTTACTAACAGTGATACTTGAATACAGACCTGTCTAGTCTCTTGTTTTCTGTTTAAAACTGTGTTTTTTCTGTCTCCTGCTCCCCTGTTCTGATGCTTACAGCTTGAGTAAAGTTGGTGCCACAAGCTTAGCTCTTGCTCTGGGTCCTACTAGACACGCATGGCTGATAACTGCTCAGTGGGTGTCTGTTGAGCACAATCCCCTGGCAGGACAGGGCCTCATTCTTTTAGTATCTGCATTTCCACAGGTCATATCCCTCCCAAACTTCATCATTACACCAAGATTACCCTTGCCTGATGCAAAAGATGAGGATAAATTATTGCACAGGGAAGATGCAGAGAGAGTTGCAGTTAGAAAATACTTGCATCTCTGCTTTCTGATTTTGCACTGAGGATACCAAAAACAGAGTGGTGATCAACTCTCAGCTACATGTATGTGTGGCCAGCTCACTTAGTGGGAACAGTGTTGAGAATTATGAAGTTTTAGGTGTTAAAGCAGACAGGCAAGAAACAGAGGACAGGGTAAGTTTTTTATAGAAAGTGCAGATTACTCAATTCTTGTATGCAAATTTGTCATCCATTATACGACTTTGTCCAAAAGCACTGAGAACTTACAAAGACATATGGAGTCCTGCAAAGCAGGATGTTAAACACTTATCAAATGTAGGCTCAACCTTTCTTATGCTTGGCCTTTAATTTTCAAAATGCCAGACCCATTTCTTTTAACATTTTTTTTTCTATGAATTATACAGTGTATCAATGGCAGAGGAAGAGATAAAACTGAAAACTATTGGTTGTGATCTCTTGCCAGGTCATGAGTCCCCCACTTGCCCTAGGAGCCAAGGTTAATATTTATCTATGCCCCATGGCACTAGTTTTGAAGGTGTTGATCCCAGGGATTAATTCCTGCTTTAAACTGGCAGTTAACAGTTCAAACAACATTTTTATTGGCATACAGTAGTTAAATGTCTAGTAGTGTGCTGATGGGTTTATGATGATTAAAGTGAATTAGGAGTTCGTCTTTGAGTTACACACTACTAGGGGCACTGGGTCATTTGGGTACCCTGGGTTAACGTATGTGAGATGTGCAGTAACCAGAGTACACAGAAAAGGAAATGTTTATTTTTAAACATTGTACTTTGGACCATTTTCTGTTCAATTTACATTGGGAAAGTAAGCCCTCAGGCTACCAGTTCTTCAGTGACCTAGTGCTTGAGCACACGTGCTCCTCAGGACACAGTCCAGGCCCTGTTGCTCATATTTCAGTAGTCATGCTCCATGGAATACAGCATCATGCTGTAGAAAGAAAAAGATGTTTGTAAACCCCTTATCTCATCTTTTACTGCTTGATGATTAGACAGTTTGAAAACTTCAGTGTGACTAGAAGCTTGAGATCTATATTCTGGCCACCTGCTATAGGTACGTATCTCATACAGTGTGACTATGCCCGCTCTCTGCAGGGAACCACAATCTACCAGTGACTGCAGCTCCACTCAAGTGACATTTCCAAACCCCTTTTAGCACCTGTCTCAGGGTGCCAGAACAGGTTGTACAAATAGGCCAGAGGGAATTTCTGAGCAGAATATAAATCCCAGTGCTGCAGCCAGTGTGCGTGCTGCTGTCCCCAAGATGCAGTCTCCTAACTCTATTTTCAACTCTGTTGAAAAATACTATCTGTAACTACTATTAATGGATTGTTTCTAGCAGGCTAATTAATCAAGACAAACTGGTGATAAACGTTTCTCCTTATATAAATTATAAGAACTTACTGTCTAATTATAGGGTGAGTGCATCCAGTACTTGAGCTGAGAAGGGTGACACATGGGTGTAGCGAGGCTATTCTGTGCGGCTCAGCTGGTGTGCCCTGCTGCTGAGATTCCAAGGAATTCTGCTCATGAACCATAGCTAGCCTCTTTCCTCATTGCTATTTATTTGTGTTGTCTGACTTTTTGTTTCCTAATTAAATGTGACATGTGCTGTTTGGAAGAATCTCATTGGCCTCTGAAAATACTTTTGACTAGTTGGTTGAGGTTTCTAATTAGTTAACCACAAATTGTGGTATTAGGGGACACTGACAGAATGAAGCACAGAAAGTCAAACCCAACCTTTGTACCCATGGAATGTGAAACCAGAAGCTGTTTTCAAAAATAAATAATAGGTGCAGAGTGCAAAATACACCAAAATACACTATAAAAATATAAGAGATGTTTTATTTATAAACAAACTTCTTAAATAAGAAATAGTTGTAATTCTCAATTCCAGACTGTCTCTCTATGCCTCTCCCTGTCAATGTCTACACTACTGTTTACTTACCTCTGATACCTCAAATCCATGGTGGCTGATTCCTGCCTTTCTCTCCACTATATCTGTAACCCAAAACATATCTGTGAGCTTCTGGAAATGAATTAATAAATAGACTGTGTATATGGAAGCTGCCTCCTTCCCAGAGACTGTGAGATTTAAGGTACACTGAAGTCCAATATGCCAGTATATTGAAGTATACAGTTAGTATTTGACTTAATTCTTGAAAATACATGTAGTTATATATGTTCATAGACATTTATAAAATATGACTCAGCAGACACTCTTTCAGAGAAAACAAGTAAGATTATTTTTTTTTTATTTTTTTTTTTTCAAAAGCTGGCCTCCATCAGGCCTCTCATATATTCACCCAGTCACGGTAAGCTTATTTTTCCCTTAGAATGAATTAAAATATAATTTTGTGTTGTCTTTCCCTATGTCCCAGAAGACTGTGCCAGTTTTTCTTGTTTTGTTTTGTTCTACATACTGCATTTTGTTAAAGTGATTCCATTCAGCTGGGGATTCTGTGTCTTCCAGGCTATATTGCTTACTTACAACTCTTGGTATTGGTCAATGACAAAAATAACTGTATCTTACCCATCCAGAACAAGTTCCAGGAGAAGGATCCCAGATGATAGAAGACTGGACTGCTGCATTTAATGATGTCTGCTCCTGTTCCTCTTAAAGTCAAACTCTGGCCAATGAGTCAAGCTCAGTTGAATGTATGTTGAAAATATTCATGGAGTCCTTTC